GATAAGAAAACTGAGACCCAGGGAACTGCAGTCTATTTTCCCAGGTCTGTGGTATTTCGTTTCCTCCCATGACCTTGTCTACTCCCTGCAGTAACCCCGTCTTGTGGATGCAATAGCGGTGGTCCCTCACCCAGAGTCATGCTGACCTTCAGGGAGCTGGACCTAGATGGGTGCCTCTGTCTATACTGCATTCTCTCTGCATGTGGCCACTGCCCACCTGCTGCCCAGTGAGCCATCCCCACCATGTGTCTGGATTTCAGGAGAGAAGGACTTCTGTCCCTCTCCCAAGAGCTAGGGACTCCTGTGGATGTATGGATAGCATCCTCGGGGACACTAACAATAGACTCAGATATGAAATGAGCATTCTGGCCGCATTGTGTTTTAACTGTTTCTACGAGGTGCGTAGTATGTGTTTAGTAAATGCCAGTGGATTGAATGGGGGAGTGGAGATGACAGGTCTATTGTTTTCCTGAAGGACTGGAGGTTATTGCTATATTTTCTAGAAGGACTACAAGGGGGATGAAAAAACCCTGGAATTTATGCTGAGTACGGTGGCTCATGCCTGTAATCCCAGCACTTTGGCAGGTGGAAGCGAGAGGATTGCCTGAGCCCATTGGTTTGAGATCAGCCTAGGCAACTTGGTGAGACCTTGTCTCTACAATAAATAAAAAAATAGGCAGGTGTGGAAGAGCACACCTGTGGTTCCAGCTACTTGGAAGCCTGAGATAAAATGATCACCTGAGCCCAGCAGATAGCGGCTACAGTGACTGTGAGCATGCAGCCTAGGCAACAGAGTGAAACTCCGACTCAAAAAAACAAAAACAAAAACCAACCCAGAATTTATTTGTAAAAAATTGTGTGTTTATTCTTCCATGTTTATACTTCAATCACCTTAAAAGTACTCTCCGTTGGATGCACTATACCTATCAAGACGCTTTTTCCACTGCTCAAAACAGTTTTTAAACTTGTCAATTTTGATGCCTTTCAATGCTTCTGTTGTTTTTTGTTTCACCTCTTCCACATTGGCGAAACATTTCCCTTTGAGGATTTTTTTCATTTGGGGATAAAAAAATAACTTGGGATGAGATTTGGTGAATAGGGAGGGTGGTGCACGGGGGTCATGCCATTTTGGGGAAAAAACTGCTGAACACTCAGTGCAGTATGGGCAGGTGTGTTGTCATGGTGGAAGAACCAGTCACTGTTTACCACAACTTGGGACATTTCTTCCGCAAATTGCGACACAGCCTTCCAAAACTTCCAGATAAAAACTTTGGTATCTGGAGGAGCAAATTTCGAGTGTAGTGCAGGGGGCCCACCTTCCAAATGATAATTCTGGTTTTCTTGAGTCCCCCTGAAACAGCCAGGAAAAATCTGAGGCCAGATCCAATCAACTCTGACCTTGTGGCCGGGACAGTTGCTAACTTGCCTGAACTATCATTTTCTTCTCTGTAAACACCATCTAACTTACAGAGGTTTTACACGGATTAGAAGAGACAATGTGCACAGAGAGCAGAGCACACAGCAGACACCTGGCAAATTGCCTTCTGCTGCCCTCGTGCCTGGGAGGTGACTGGGTCGCTTCTCTGCTCCGTGGAGACCAGAGTGTTAAGATCAAGCTGGGCTGTGCCGGACACTTGAGTGTTGTCGGAGCAGCCTTGGACGTCAGCCTCAACACGGGTGTCACTTTATTCACTGGCCTGTGCCACATAGACAGTAGGTTGTGTGACAGTGCAGTTTTCTTTGGCCTTTTTCTTTGACAGTGTGCTGATGCCACACGTGGCATTGGAACACAAGCAGGTGGAGGGGTTTTGCCTAATGAAACTTGATTGCTTTGAAAAATGTTTTCTATAGCAGCAGGCTGAGAAGCGATATTTAGTTTACTGTATGGTCTTGAGTATTTTGCTGAGTAAATATTTAAAATCCTAAAGCTTCTGTGGCATTTAATAGACACAAATAATATTAGAGGAATCCTTCTGAGAATCATTGGTCAAAATGTGCCCCCTCTGGCCTCTGCAAGTCCTGTAGCTTTCTAAACTCGGTAGTGGTCGTGTGTAATATGTTTGCCAATCCAGAAATTCATGTCTCGTAAATTCAAAACCAGAATCTTTAGAACCTGGTGCTTCTTATCTCTTTTATGAAAATATTAATGTCTTATTATATATATGGGTTTACCATAAAATCTTTTCTATTAAGCATTTAAGACAGACTTTGAATCAGATTTCAGATTACCCCTTGAGCCTGAATAAAATAGAATGATAAAATCCCTTTATTGAAGAAAGTACAATTGGTATTCAGTAGCACTGTTGTAAGAGTGGCATTCGCCTGTGCTCATGGCTCGTGCCTGGGGGGAATCAGTGGTTCACAGATGTCAACTCACTGGGCACTTCGATCCCAAGTTCCATCGATCCTGATCAAGATTTTCTCAGCTGCGAACCTATAAAGGTTAAACAAAGCCTTTGGAAATATGAGCCCTTCTCCCTTCTCCCTCACATACACATGCACTGTAGCCTGGAATTCCTTGTGCACTGACTTTTACAAGGCAGAGCTCAGTCGGAAGTGAAGGATGTCAGGAAGCCGGAGAAAGGCAGGAGAACAATAGCCTTTCCACTGAGAAGCGCAGATGCCGGTTTTGGTACCACGAACAATAGCACTTATTTCCAGATGTTTAAAAAGTGAAATCTCTAGAAGGTACTGCAATTTGGATTAAATTTCTCAGAGAAGAAACTACTGAAAGGAAAAAGAAAAGAAACAGAACACTAAAGATTAACAGGACAATTTATTAGGGGAATTAACGTATCAAATAATATTGGCTCTTTAGAAAATGCCTGTTGAAAGCTGATGTTCTCTCATTTGATCTGAGCAAGGAGCGCAGCTGCGTTTCGCGTTTCTTGCATGTCCCTGTGAGTGTGCCTTGGCCTCCTCCTCCTCAGATAGACTGCCAGCCAGATTACTGGGGACACTGAGAATTGACTTTTTAAAGCTTGTGTAACTCTTCAACACTCTGACTTTAAGACAAAATGTGTTATTTATGTTCTTTCATAAATAGTGACTGGCTGGGTATAAAAGCAAGAATTTGCTGTGGGAATAATCTTCTGCCAAAAGTTAGAATTTAAATATTTACAAGTGGCCAGGGAAGGGCTGGCTGCTTCACACTTACCTTTTAAAAAATATTAATAAGGAAAAAGGACACAATTATGCTATTTTCGGGTGTCATTGGATACTTAGATTTTTGGAGAAAGTAGTTTGAATAATTTAATTCAAACAATGAGAGGCAGAAAGAAGCTAAGGAAGTAGGTAATAAGCAAATAATGTTGATTCTAAATCACACCGCAGGCATGAGGTACAATGCCTATTTTGGCATAAAAGAACTACAAGATAACAAGACATGAAACTATAAGGCGAACATCCAGTTAGTCATTCTGCTATCTCAAAGGTCACATACTCCTTTTCAAATTACTCCCTCCCTCAGACCATTTTTGAATTAAAAATAAGGCATGTCACACACACATACACACACACCATGGCCCCTCTAAAATCCGCTGTGTTGTTTTCATGAGTTAAAATCTTGTTCACGTCTAAGCAGTGATTTTTAAATGTCAAAGTAATATAGTCATGGCAAGAGAGGTCACGCTTACAAAAGTCAAAATAATGCAGTCATGGGAAGAGTGGTCACAGTTCTGATCTGAGCACACTTCTGCGTGATATTTAGGCCCCGAAGTTGTATTGTTTTCATCCAGTCTTTCTCGCATGGTTTGGTGCATTTCACACTCAGCTGATGCTCACTTGGGGTGTCTGCTCCAGTTTGGAGACGGCTCCCTGCAGATGCCCAGTGCAGAAAGGCCTGGGTGGCGCTCTTGTGTGTTGTCTTGTGGGGATCTCGCGCCTCTGGCCTGTGCAGGCATTCCGGGGAACAGGGAGTGGGAACAGACAGCTGACTGGATGAAGAAGACACTGGGGGAAGACTCCCATTGTTTAGATTTCTGTCAGAGGATATAAGAATACTTAATTTCTTTTATCTCTAGGGCTTTCATTATCATTTAAATTTCATTTTACATTAATTGATCAGGGATTAGTCAAGCCATTATGCAGAAATTAGAATAAGACAAGCCAGATGGAATGAATTATTCATGAAGTCCAATTACGTTTTATTTCTGGTGTACTTTCAAACTTGCCTCTGACTTCTGTGCTATTTTGATGTGACAATATTCGCTGGAAATCAAGAGTGCCATTTTAATTTCCCGCACCCCTCTGGAGTGGAAGCATTTGTATGCGATGGGGGTATGCTCGGCCTCTCCCCCCACCCCCGAACATGCATTTTAGGGAACTCGCAGATACTGGGGGGTCTTGAAAACACAGCTCATTTTCTACGGAGGTTTGGGGGCCCTGCGGCGACCCACACCGGCCCGCCTGAATTGTGGGCCCGACCCTGCGTAGGGGACGGGGTCTTGGGGTCACATGTCCACGCCCTGGGGTAGCGGCGACCCCCCGCTGAAATACGTGTCCCCGCTTCCCGCCGCCCGGGAGCCCTTACAACGTGGCCTGGAGCCGGGCGGGGAGCGGCAGCCGCTGCAGCTGCACGCGGAGCCCACGAGGTGGCAGGGGCGGCCTTCCTGCGAGGCCGGCGGCCGGCCACCCGGCCTCCGGGGCCCGCGCTGG